AATTTCTTTCCCACAAGTAGTCTATTGTGTAGAGAAAGCCTGTGTTAATTATGTTTCTTTTAAGTTTGCTTTGCATTTCATAGAATCATCAAGATTGGAAAAGACATCCTAGATCATCTAGTCCAGCTGTCCAACAACCACCAATATTTCCTGACTAAATTATGTCCCTTAGTACAACATCTAAATGTTTCTTGAACATCTCCAGGGACAGTGACTCCATTACCTCTCTGTTCCAGTGCCTCACCACTTTTTCCATAAAGAAGTTTTTCCTGATACCCAACTTGAACCTGCCAAATGAGAAGGGAAAGAATCTTCTATCCCACAGGGCAAAGAGCACAGTGACAAAGCACTTGACAAAGAAGACTAGAAAGCACAGGGCTTTTGCTCAGAAAAGCTGAACAATACAAGTGTTGTATATTATTTCTGATGATTTATATGAGGGGTATGGTTACCATAACTTTTAATATAACCTAAGATGGCATGTAGAGTAATGGGCATCTAAGGAGGTTAGTGTTCTGTGAATTGGCACTACTGCCACAGAACAAAGATTCAATTTTGGTAACTCGAGTAATGTGGCACAAGAGATGGTATTGCAAGTAAATGTGCTGTCTTCAGGCAGGAGAGGGCTGTTGGATGTGGCAGCTCATCCCCTCATCTACTTGTTGTCATATGGAGGTCCAGTGATCACCTCCAGAACAGCTGCAGAAAGAGACCAGTGCAACAGCTTGTATTTCCTGTTTCATGGTGTCCAACCAAACAGTGCTGCTCTCTGGTAGATACAGCTTTCATCCATAATAACATTTAACTACCAAATCTGGGTCAAGAGTTGAAACAGAGAAGCAGTTTCCTAAATTACTGCAAAATTTAATATGCTGTGAAAATAAATGAAGACCAAAAAAATGATACTCTGAAAGACTTGAGGAATTTCTTCCTAGGTATTTAATTGTTCTTGGAATATAACGAAGAAAAATAATTTGTGAATTTGTTCAAATCAACTCCCTAAAATTCCACATGATTCTCTCATCAAACTATAAAAACATTTTCTAAATTCTTTACATGTTTTAAAAATGTGAACTGATCTGTTTTGCAACTCTTTCTGGCTAAATGGAGTGGCCCTACATTTCGGAGGACAGCCTCTCTTTTATATGACTACTGGGAATACAAGGTGCTTAGTGGAGCAGCTGATAGAAAAAAAAATAGTTTCAGCCTCTTTATCTTCCTGGCCAGTATAACGCAGGTGCAATGCCATGGATCAGTGCTACAGTACTGCCTTCTGCATCAAGATCATATGACTAAGATGCACTGAAAATATTAAAAGGAGAGGGAGGCAATGAATGTATAATAGAAAAAAAAAAAAAAAAACCACCTTCCACTTTCCATCCACTTTGCTAAAATAAGCTTTTCAGCAGATGCTAATGTTCTGGCAGCCTGAAATGAGTTTGTGGGAATCAGGTACCACAAATGTGTGGCTCAAAAAGAAGGCAAAGCCTCCTATGAGGGTCTTTAGCATTTTGCTGGTGTCCCAGCTGCCCAGAGTGGGACACAAGGGAAGATATGATCCTTACCCTTGGAACATAAAATCAGTTCAACAGTGTATACAATACAAAATCCAGGTGTCATACAGAGTATGAGTGTCAGGAACAAGACTGTCAGTATCATCACATAGCACTGCCATTCTTTCCAAGTTTGTAGTCCTACAAAATCCAGCCCATGCAGAGATCATTCAAGGGTTGTGAGCTCAGAGGGATGAGTCACAGGCATCTGGAGGGTGACACTGTGTGGGCTGAGATTTAGTCTCATTGTTTTTCAGCATTCAGTATATACACAACATAAGCCAATTATATTGAACACTGCTATAATGAACCCCTCTCATTGAGCACTCTCTGCAGAGAGCTTTAAAACAAAAACTATAGTTATTTAACAGTGCTGTGCAGCTCAAAGAGTGCCACTGAGACTTATCTTGACTGAAGTGCAGTTGCTTGCTGAATATAACTTTACTGTAACTGCTGACTTCTAAAATGCATGCACCTCTAAGAGCTGTTGTCACCTCACTAGGGACAAAAGTGTATATATCTGTGATATTGAGCAATGCCGAATTCCTTCCCAGAGGTTTTTGGCTGCTCTGCAGTACACAAGGACTTAGACAAGTTTTCTCTAAAGACATGGGCTGTGTGCCATTTAGCTTCCAGGTCTGGAGCAAAATGTCATCCTCTACCTTAAAACTTCAAATTTTCTTCAAAATAATGAAGATTTTATTGTGAAAATGGATTTAAATCACTACAGCTCCATAATCCTTCATGTTCCTCATATCCTTCATTTCCAAGTATTGTAAGCTCAGAAGCTCTTTCTCTGTACCAGTCTTGCCTCAGGTTTTATATAGCATATATACCATGATATCTGAGATTAAAACAAATACCAAAGTAGTCATCCGAGCATGCAGAAAATACCTAAAAATAGGTTTAGAATCCTAAACTTACTTATATGATTCATAGGTGAGTACATCAGCCACTCTGGCTTTAATTCCATAACAACTCCCAGAGAATAGATTTAGTAGACTGCAACCATGATCATAATAGCTAACAACGGTGTGGAAAACAGTGACAGAAATCTATGTCATGCCTATCATCACCAATGAATGCAAGATGGATAATGCCTTACTAAAAGAAAGGCAAACTGACTCTTGCTTATGATGGGGTGACATGAATGACGTGTTAGTGGGCATGGTGCTGATGGGTTGAAAGTTGGACTAGATGATTTTAGTGGTCTTTTCCAACTTCAATGATTCTATGATTCTACAAAAGAATTCCAAAAGCAATGTGTTGTGGTGGAGGTAACGCAGGTCTAAACCCTCTGTGATCCTGCAGTAAATTACCTGAGCACATATATCCTACACCAAATGTAAAATAAGGATCATATTAGGTCCAAATTCTTCTCAGAAAGGGCAGGATTTGCTTTTCATGGCATTTAGCAGCATAAGCCACGTATGCCTCTAAGAGAGCATATTTCCACTTTCAGATGAAGTCTAAAGGGAAGATGAATGCTGCTGCTGTATAATACCCGCACCCCAGTTCTTACCCAGTTATTACAGGGAGTTGTTCTAAACTCATTTAGTAGAGACAGTGGTTTACATGTATACAAGACAAATTTGCTTTTGCTTTTATTAAATTTGAACATACGACAAAATAGACCACAATGTTACTTCCCAGATGTGTGTTAAAAGCATTTTAAACATTAGGAGCATCTAAATGTTTAAAGTTAAATACCATTACGTCAGGCTAGGTCTGGTTGGTTTGTGAGTGAAAATGGCAACATTTTACCAACCCCTGTTGGTAACAAACAAATCACTAAAATATTATTATTTGTTTCAGCATAACGCAACTAAAAGAAATTGACAAACAGCACATAGAGAAGTTTTTCTAATTACTTCTAACTTCAAAGTTCAGTACTGGAGAAAGTTTTCTTCCCTGTAAAATATTATTCAAAATTATATGCCATATTAGAGGCACCAGGTAAGACTGATTTTCTTAGACCTTCATTGGAATATTGCTTACTCTACTTCACATATTTGTATTTAGGAGTGGAAATTTTACAAATGTGGTATGACAGCTTGAAATATTATTTTTCCTGCATGAACAAATGTCAGGGAAATTATCCATCTGTATTCAGAGCAGCACTCAGCTGCACTGTTGCCTCCAATAAGATGGTGGCTGATGTCATTCAAACAAACAGTTGCATTCATTTCTTTCTGAGAGGGAAACAAGAAATATTTGTAAGTGACAGCATATTTATCACTCTGCTAGTGCTAGTCTCACTCTTCTGTGCTACTATTTTTCTCAGACTGTTCAGGTATGTTAATTTGAAATCTTGCTCAGTAAACACTTATGTTCCATGCTGATTGATCCATCCAAACATAGTTAAGTTCTTATCAAGGAATTTCCAAAGGAATTAAGTAAATGGAGGAAATTTTATGTTACTGTTTATTAATTTAGCATCCTAGAGAACTCAGTTGTCCTTAACCTGGATCAATAATAATTCCTCAGAGAAAATTCTGGTCATGAACCAGAATGCCTGATGAGAAACTACAGTTTTAAGAGCTGATTTTCCTCATAGGTGAGTAAATTCAATAAACAGATCAGTTAAACAGGTACTACCATGTTTACTTTTCACCATGCAGGAAACTGACTGCAAAGCATCCTAGGAAAACACAGAACACAATATTATCTTTCTAAACTGTTGCAATAATGCAGTGTTTTTCACCATGACTTTTTATACTAAATTAACAGCACACAGTAAGCTGAATATTAAACAAATATTGCAGATTTGCTGTTCTTGATGCTTTTGCAATGCAGTTGGTTCTTTACATATGTCCCATTTCATCAGATAATATTCAGTTGCATTTTGTCACACTGCATTTATCCATTCAGCCTAAATCCAATCACATGACACACACTTCAGTGCATTTAGTATAAAAAAAAAAAGCTTTCCATAATTCCAATTATTTTTATCTGTGAACAGATACGTCCAATTACCCTGAGACTTGTGTGTCAAATTTGTTGTGTTTCAAGCCAATTTTTACTTCAGGTTTTCAGTAGCCACTTAAGATAACATTCCCCTTTATTTTTGAATTGCAGTTGACAAATGCAGTTGACTATGGAAGAGTTGGTATTTTTTTTCTTTGTAAGAGGAGCGACTTCAGCTAATAATGCTGATGGGAATTCCTGAGGCATATCAGTAAAGTAGTAGACAACATAAAGTTTCCAGCAAGGCTAGAAAGTACCGCTGTGCAACTTACTATCTTGTGAGAACTAAGAGACTTAGTAAAGGAATGTAGGCAAATTTTCCTTCTATCCTGCTGTGATTAAATCTCATTTTGGTTGTACACATGGATAATAAAAAATCAAATATGTAAATTGTGTTCTCCAAGCCTAGCTACATCAAGAGAAAAACAGGGAGTAAGAGGAAGGAATGGGATGAAGAGCAGATAAAGTTAACTGGTTTACCTGATACTGTACAACACTTTCCCAGTCTTAGAAATCCTTAGCAGCTTATTGTCTGTTGTGACATCATGGAAGTTTGCTCCCTTTTCATTGGCAAAAAACAAATCTGGTTTCCAAATAGAGTCCAGCATGGAGGGATCCAAATCCAGGGAATCATCAGGATATTCGCTGTAAGCCAGGCGTGAATCGTTCCACTGCTGTCTCAAAAAAATGTTCACTCTGTAGTCCTACAGAAATGCCATGTAAAGAGGTTATTGAGCCACTTAGAAAAACTGGAAGCTCACTTTAGCTTTCTTTATGGTTCAGACTTATTTCAGCATTATAGCAAACATTTATGCCATCCTTTGGATGCAAGAGTTGTCATTTGAAAATAAAGCAGTCTGAATATCATACTGAACCAAACAAACTGTTACATTTTCCAAATCAAAATTACTTCAGTTATGAAGAAAATATCAACTGCAACCTCCAATGTTAAATATAACTCTCTTACAAGTACAATGTTTTATCCCAGTGGTATTTGGAAAGATAAAAAGCACTGTGGTTAGCTACATAGAATTTCAACAAATTTGTTATAAAACTGCTAATTCAAATAAATTATTTCCAATACATAAATCAATTGTTTCTAATGTACTCGTGAATAGTTGTTAATTTCAGCGAAGCCAGATTTGTACAGAAGAAATTAAATCAGCACTTCTTATTTACTGTCTCTATCCTTTTTCCATCCACCATATGCTTTTCTCTGTACGTTCTTTCATTTACTTCTCTCTCCTGCATCCTCTTAAAATTGTTCTAATTGCATTCTTCTGCTCAGTGGTCTGTTAGTCACAACTGGGAAGACAGCAATTACATACAGGTTCATTTAGAACCAGAATTAACACCATGTTGAGAACTGGCTATTAAAAGGGTGTGTGAAAAGAGCTTTTAGGGTCTAATCCAGAATCCAGTGGAGGGAATGGAAAACTGCTAGTGCCCATTCTCCTCTGTATTTCCAAAGTCAGCAAGTAAGAACATAATTTCGCCTATCTTTCCTTGCAATTATAGCATACATTTACCTTACTTTACCACAGTTAGATATTCTGTGAATACTCTCTTAAAATACACCTACTATTACTCTAAAAGGAAAATATTTAATAATATTTATATAGATTATATTATCTGAAAAATTACATTAGCAAATAATCCCATCAACTGTACAAAGCCTCACATTTAGGATTTGTTTGGGGGTAGCTGCAGTACATTAAAATGGCAAAACTACGCTTTTGACTTGGAAAATGTATTAGTTCACACTCGTTTAGATAGGGCACTGAACTTTATCAGTCTAAAGAAATGTAAACAAATAATGTGAACAGATATAAAACACCCTTGAAATGTAAACAAATATTCTCACTCTGATTAGAGTTGTGGAATGAGGCCCACCAACCTTTGGTGTTCCCACCATTCACTTGGTAGATTCACAAAGAAGTGTGCTGTTGCCCTGGCAGAATATTTCTAACATATAAACTAATACAGTTTTTGAGACCTATGGGATGATGTTTCACAATTCCACTAGTAATGTGTATTCTCTTGCTTGCTTTATTATTTCTATTTTGCTCTTGGGTAGATGTGAATCAAAACATCTAATCAGAGCAAGACAGAACAGATAGCAGCCTATATGAATGGCATGCTTTTTACAGATCTTGCAAAAGCTCGTAACTATTTGTCACAAGCCATTGTGCTCTTTATGATGGTTTTGTTTCATAACAGTTTAAAATCAAGTTGTTACTCGCTGTACTGAGCTTATAAAATATCATCAAATCTTGCAAGAATGCACCAACCCTGAGCATATTTCCCTTTGTTTCCTGATCTTAGAAACTGTCTTACAAGTTTGTATAAGACAGTTTTAGTTATGAAGACAGGAGAACTTTTTATTTTCTCTCTACTTAAAAGAAGGCAAGAGGTGTTATCAGTAAATGAAATTATACTATATAATCATTATAACTAGTCATGTAACACTTTTTCATGTTTATTTGAAATAAGATACGTAACAAAATCCGTGGAAAGCAGAGGTATTTCTTCACCCATGACACAGAAATCATAAATCAGTCAAGTCAGCAAATTGCAAAGAAATATCTAAAAATAAATATTCTTTCATGAACTCCTGCAGTTGGTGATTTAGCAAACAAAAGCAAGTCAGGAAAATCCTTATTTGTAGGAGGGCTTACACATGATATATATTATACCAAAAGCATAAATAATGCCAGTAGGATTATATGATATTTTTCAGCATACACCTTCATAAATATATTAGAGCCATCATACCAATACACTTCAAAGAGTTTTTTTCACTACAGACTGTGCTGTTAGAAAGAAAACAGCACTGAAACATTTGTTGCTCTCTGAATGGCTTCACTATCTATAAACATATGTTTATTTATGTATATATAAAAATATGTCAATAAGAAATTAAAAATGGAAATATAACTGTCACACCATAAAGCCATGATTATATTTTTCCTCTTCTGCTTGTGGAATAAGCAGCCAGGAGGGACGTGCATTTACACAGTCAGATGTAATCATGTGTAGAATTTTGAATTTACTTTTCCTGTGCTAACACTTTAACTATCTCCCAGAGAAAAACTCTCCTGAGGATGATATCTCAACATGGAGCTCAGGCAGCCTATGGTGTGTGTTTTGCGAGTTCCTGAGGGTAGGAGTAGGAGGACTGTAGTAATGCACTCCTACACTACCACAAGTACACCTGCTCCACAAATCCTTTCTGACAGAACCACTGCTCTGAATGAGAAGTGTGGACCTGAATTTTCAATCTCAGTTGCAGTACTGATGCCAGTGATAGCTCAAGGCAACTCAGATAAAGAGTTTTCCTCTGTTCTCAAGCCATAAGACCAGGACAATGCTAATACACTAAAGAAATATTCTTCTGAGCAGTTTAATTAGATTTATATGAAGATTTAGGGACTCAGTCCACATGTACTAAGTTCTGTTACAGAAGTCTAGAGAGAAATGTTTTCTATTTTCCTCAGGCTGGGCAAAGTTAAGGATATCAGCTCCACAGACCCCAGGTTCCCCCTCCAAGCCTTCAGCAAAGCTCTGTGGTCCTTTGGCCTCAGGCTCTACTTTGACAGGGAGTGCTGGGAAGCCCCACTCCCCTTTCAGTGCTGTTTTCTGTCTCCGAACATGCTTTGGACTTACTCCTCTTTGATGTTATCTTTCTTCCCATCCTCCCCTTCAATCACATTAGTACCCCAGGTGTTAAGTCAGATGTCTGATGCTAACAGCAAACTTAGCTGGTCTTGCAGACATAGGAGTGGCTGACCAGAGAGACTATTTTCTCTCCAAGTGCAAAATATGAATGCTAACTGAATAATAGTGTTCTAATAATCTATTTCAAGGCCATAACAGAAAAGATCTTGTTTAACTAGACACCTGAGTATGTAGAGTGTCCCTAGTGACATCAGTGGGAGTCCTTTGTGCAGTTTAAACTGTGTATGCAAATTGCTCATTTGCTCAAATTGGGATCTAATAAATTGATTTGCAATGTATGTTTTCTAATGGGAATATCATCCACACAGCCACAGCTAAGATCTTTTCTCCCTAAAATGGAGTTCAATGCATTTATCCCAACAGAGAACCTGCTGCATACTCAGTCATTGATTACAGGGCATAACTACAGTAAAAATGTCCCCACAGTTAGTCATTTCTGTAATTAACCATTAGCTCATGAATGTAGGAACTGCTCTTAGCTTCTCCTACAGCTGATAGCTAAAATATCCTGGTCATTAGTGACACTGGACATTTGAATATTTTGGGACTTTGCCCAGCCTGATGCAGATTACTCATCTGTGATATTCAACAACACTGAATTTTTTGCTGAATACTGTGTTTATAAATGCTTCTAAAATTAGATATAAAGCTTACTGGCACAATCACTTTATTCTGTGAAGTTACACAGGAATGTCTTTTTTTTTTCCCCCCCTTTCTTTGCAAATAAGAGTTTAAATGATGACATGTGGATCAATAAAGAAAATTTCCAACAGTTCCATCTTGACTCTGGTCTGGCCTTTTAAATATTTTGGTTTGGTATAATATACATCATTTTAATGTGGAAGTAACTTGCTTTTGGAACAAATCAAAATAAATCATGATACTGTCCCACCTGTATATAATAGTGCAGAGAGTCTCACACATTGGCATTTTGTTTCTGTAAATCTTTGGGAGCCAAACTCATGAAGACAGTGGTTAACCTTTTTGAAGAGAGTCAGCGCACGACTCTGTTTCTTTCCTCAGTTAAATAGGTTTTAACTTTTAGAAGAAAATGCATGAGTTGTGCTAGCTATTCACACAGGGATAAATGTACTCCTGGTCTCTATGCTAACAAGAAAACAGAAGATACTCCTGCTAACATTATTGAGAACTGAATGAATTTAGTAGGTATGGGACTGTAATCCGGTTTGCCATGTTCCTCCTGCTGAAAGCCTCTCTAAACAAGTTTTCATTTCCCAAGGTTTCCAGTGAGCTATTGCAGCTCTTCAAAGTTATATCTTGACAACGTCCCTTCAGTATATATATGCAGTTTCAGTAAGCATCCCTGTCCCCTGAGGCTGGAATGTCCCTTTTTGACTGACAATCCAGGGTTTTAAATTAATTTTTTATTTATTGATCAAAATGATCAAGTGCATTTTATAGGGAAAAAGAATCCTAGAGGTCAAACAAAACTCACTGTTTATCACAAGGGATGCCAACATTTTTACCACAATTGTATTTATTTCAGAAAAACAAAGTAGCTGCAACAGCAATTGATGTCTGCCTCTCGGACCAGTTTTTAAACGTCCTAAAACTAGTCACTTTGTCTCTAAAGAAGTTACAGCATTAAGAAAGTGAATATCAAACTACCAAACAATATCTAAGAGAACTTTTTCCACACTTTCCAGCATCATGAACAAAGCGAAATAAGAAAGCCAACAGTCTTTGTTTTTGTCAACTTGAATGTTTAGCTGTTTTCAGCAGAATGTGTTAATGAACATTGAAAAGGTGCACATTAACATATTTGATAGACGGTAAAATGCAATGAGGGGATTTAATCAAAGCAATGAAGGAGTCTAATTAATGCAATCAGCATTAGGTCGTGCAAATATTTTCATTGAATGCCATCTTGTAAAGCCAGTGACGTGCAGGATTTTTTTGCTACTTAAAGCTATGCTAATGTCTTTACATCTTAAGATCAACAGACACAGCTGGATAAAAAAGTCTACATTCATATCTGTCTTTTCAAACTCTTTAAACATAGGAAAGCAAAGTTTTCAAAATGTTGTCTGCTGATAATTATTTTAAATAAAGGTTAAGGGAGTTTTCATATAAAACTTAACTTGGTTTTAGTTCTATTTTAAGTTGTTTTTAAAAGGCTATGGTTACATATTCTAAAACTTTGTTCTCTGTTTACTTTTTAACTATGTATTTTATAGCTGTGTCATTTATAGAAGAATCTTTCCTACACTATTTAAGAAAGCAAATTGTTTTAGTAACTAATTGCCTTTTTTCCTCTAGAAAATGTTAAATAACTGCTGTAGATTTTTTTCAAGCAATTACATATGAATAAAGTATTTTAATGTTAAATAAAATGCCTGAATTAGACAAAATATCTTTTCTTCCTTCAGAAGGCAATTATTTCAAGCCAATATTTATCTTATTTTATAATAGGAAACAGCTCTTTGCTGTAACTTCAGTAGGTAACAAGTTTATTTTTCTTCAACAAGAACTCAGTCCTGCAGTCCTACATTTATTGACTCTGGCTTTAAAAGGGAAAAAAAAAAAAAAAAAAAAAAAAAAAAAA